TGAGGCTTTGCTCTGGCAAAGCCTCAGAGGCGCGGGACCCCGCCGCCACTGCGGCTTTGCTCCCTGTGTCCCTGGTCTGCTGGAGACGGTCTCCAGCAGACCAGGGGCACCGGGAGCAGCTTTTCTCGCCCCGGAGGTCGAGGTGGCGGGACCGCTGCCTGCGAGCTCCGGGGCGAGAAAGCCCCGTTCGTAAGTGCGGATCCGACATAAGTCGGATCCGCGTAAGTCGGGGACTGCCTGTACTGTCTTTTCCACAAGACCCCTACTTCATTCAGCACACAGCTTGAAGACGTGAGCAGACAGAGGGCACCGGGAGCAGCTTTTCTCGCCCCGGAGGTCGAGGTGGCGGGACCGCTGCCTGCGAGCTCCGGGGCGAGAAAGCCCCGTTCGTAAGTGCGGATCCGACATAAGTCGGATCCGCGTAAGTCGGGGACTGCCTGTACTGTCTTTTCCACAAGACCCCTACTTCATTCAGCACACAGCTTGAAGACGTGAGCAGACAGAATTAAGACTGCACAGGTCACCATAAATCTGGCATTTCCTGACTTTGGAATGTTTGTATTTGCAAGCTAAATAATTTATTTTACTATTTTATATATAATTATAGCCATTTTACAATTAGGAAAACTGAGACATAATTTGGGTTTCCTGAGGTCACCCGGTAAGTCATTAGCTCAAATGTTCTCTAACCACTATACATTTTCATGTTCTGTCTTAGAATCAGATCCTCTTTCACTCTGCTAACCATTGACTGACTGGCCTCCACTTACACAAGTGTGCAAACTCTTGCTCTCTCTCTGGAATAATGCCCTTCTCCTCTCTACTGGCTGCATCAACTGGAACTCTCTGTTCCAGCAACATCTGTGGTCCTGAAGGGCACTGCAGAGGGTGGAAGGGATTAGAGCCTAGCATGATGTGTTTGGGGGAGGAAGGTGATGTGCAGGCAGGACCTGGGAAGTCAGGTGCGTGGCTCAGCTGGCGTGCAGGGGGTTGTGGGAGCAATACAGCTGAATTGAAGGGAAGGACAGAAGCCAGTGCATAGCTCAGCAGGGCTGCAGGGTATGGATGGGGGTGGCAGCTCAGCTGGGCTGTGGGGGGAAGCCAGGAAGCCCAGAGGGAGAGATAGGACAGGGGCAGAAATGACCTCCCCTGGTCTGGAAAAATCTTTCATCCAGCACCTTCATTCATTAGTGCATTGTATTTTTGGAAAGAGAGAGAAAGATAAGAAAGTGTCAAGATTTTCAGACTTACTGCTTTTTTTAAAAAGCTCATTGTTCATTTTTCTTCTGTTCTAATTTACTAGCATTTCCATTGTCCTTTAAGTTTATGTTGACTATCAAGGTATTGGTTGCTCATTATGAACCACAAATATATAATGTGGTGGTCTTTGTCATTACTACAACTAGTCATGCTCTTTGTTTATTTTTAATAGGGTCCCTTAAAATGGAAGTTCAAAACTGTGTCCTGTGTCCCATACACACACACTAAATCATAGAATAATAGAATCCTAGGTCTGGAAGAGACCTCAGGAGGTCATTGAGTCCAGCCTCCTGCCCAAAGCAGAACCAACCCTAACTAAATCTAAAATATAGATGGATTTTTGTTAATATCAGAATGTACATCACATCAACTTGTCATTTGGCTTCTTTGTTATCATTAATGACATTTAACAGGGTCATGATGTCCAGAATGAAAGAAGACAGACAATTTTGGTCCCTAATGATTTGGTTTGTTAAAATGCTGTCTTTTATTTCAGGAAGTTGGATGCTTTCATCTATGATGCAGCAGTGCTGAATTACAAGGCTGGAAGAGATGAGGGCTGCAAACTTGTAACAATAGGCAGTGGATACATCTTTGCCACTACAGGCTATGGAATAGCTCTCCAAAAGGGATCACCTTGGAAAAGACAGATTGACCTAGCACTCCTTCAGTTTGTTGGTGATGGTAGGGCCGAATTTTTTTTCTTTTCTATTTTGTGTGCACAGATAATTATTTTACTTTATTGTTCAAGTAAGTGTTTTTGAAATTCTTTCTAGATTCTGAGATGAGTAGTTTACAACCTAGCCCAGTGATTCCTTTCAACTCACTCCACATTCTTCAAGACCATTGAGTCATATTTTCATGAAAAGACTACTTCCACACAAATATGCCAAATCAACTGGTTTTGTTGCTAGAGATTATGTCTGCATGTCTAAATCACTGAATGGCATTCAGGTTCTAACATATTCATTAATAGTTGTCAATATCAGGGTTTTGACAAGAATACTTTGCTATATTACAGCTCTTACTAAAAAAATCTGAAAGGATTTATCAAGCAGGAACAAATGATCTAATTCAGAGCCTCTGAATTCAAAGGTAAGGTACCAGCTTGATTCAGTGGACTCTGGACCATGGCAAAAGAGGTACCTAGTAATTTGAGGCAGTAAAAGACAGGGAAGAGAACCCAAAGATGTAATTTACATAATAGTTGCTTTTTGGTGTCCTCAAAATAACATTATGTACACTAAATAAAAATGTGGTCTTCTGTAAAGGAGATGATAATGTGTATTGACCCATATTGTGGATACCTGAATAAGTTTATTATTTTTCACATGTAATATTTTTCTTGAGGTTTCTTTTTTCAAAAATATGCCCTGTAGCTCCTGCCTTCAGGACCTGACTGAACCAGAGAATTTGCTGAACCAAGGGAGGTCAATGTTGCCTAGCAGCATTACCAACATTTTCACTGCTTACTGGCTCTTAAAAGACATTTAGGGTTAATTAGAGCTAAATAACAACACAGACCACTGAGAGCCACAGAAGTGACTGTAAACATGTATCACTGCAGAGAGAGACTGAGTAGATTCACTTTCTTTAGTGGGAAAGAATTAATGAACACAAATCAGATATCCTAAAAGGCAATACACAAAAACCTGTTGGAGAACACTTTAATCTACCTGGACACTCATTAATGGATCTCCAAGTCACTGCTTTGTTTGGGTATGTCTACACTACAGCACTATTTTGAATTAACTTATTTCGAATTAGTTGATTTGAAATAAGCTAAATTGAAATAACGCATCTAGACACAAAAACTAATTTTAAATAGCATTTTGCTATTTCAAAATAGCACGTCCACACTGATTGGATGCTGGATCGCATTTAAGGGCAGCTGAAACTGGTTCCAGCAGGGCATCAGGTCAATAGTTGCTTTGTGTGGCTGCTGTCTGAGGTTCGTGTTTAATGGGACCCCCCTGGACAGCCGGTTCTCAGCTTTCCTGCTTGCTTGCCTATCTCCCTGAGGGACAGAAAAGCATTTTCCTCTCTGTCTGCTTTGGTCACTCTCATTTGGAACACCACAGCACTCGGCATCATGGAGCCAGAGCCATCCCTGAGCACTCTGGTGCTCATGTTGAACGTCTTGCTGCAAGCCTGGCAGCAATTGCTGGAGGCTGCCTGGCACTTTCTGCTGCAGGCCAGCCCCGTGGCCCTCTCCCTGCCGCCTGTGGGGGGCCCTAGAGGAGTGGCACCCGGACACCAGCGTGCCCTGCCACATCTGGTGTTTGGACACCAGGAACAACTGGTGGGATCACACAGACCAACAGTGGACCCAGAACTTCAGGATGAAGAAGGACACCTTCCTGGAGCTCTGCGAGTGGCTCGCCCCTGCTCTGCAGCAATGGGACACATGCATGAGGCCCGCCATTCCCCTCCACAAGTGGGTGGCCATCGCCTTCTGGAAGATCTCCACGCCGGATAGCCTCCGAAAGGGTGGGAACCGCTGAGCCCCCCCATCCCCCCCCACAAGTGGGTGGCCATCGCCCTCTGGAAGCTTTCCATGCTAGACAGCTACCAATCCGTGGGGAACCAGTTTGGTGTGGGGAGATCCACCGTCGGAGCGGTGCTCATGCAGGTATGGCACTCACTGGCCACTGGACCAGGAGGGGGAGCTGCAAGGAGGACATGGGCTGCCTCAGGGAAAACGGGGGGGGAGGTGGTGTAAGTGCCCTCCCTGGGAGGGTTCGGTCTGTCCCGGCCATACTAAAGACCACCTGCGGTGGCCAGGATTGCAGCGGGAGTTGCTCCTGGGAGTGAGGAGCGGGGCAGTGGTGGGGAACAAACACTCCCAGCCACCCAAGCACCCCAGTGATTCGCGGTTTGGTGTGTCTCTCTGCAGGTGGTGAAGGCCATCAACAGGGAGCTGCTCCACAGTCATCTGCCTCACCAACCTGGATGCGGTCATCCACCGGTTCGGCGCCTTGGTCTTCCCCAACTGTGGGGGCGGGGGGGCAATCGACAGCACGCACATCCCCATCCGTGCCCTGGGCCACCAGGCCTCCAATTTATCAACAGGAAGGGGTACTTCTCTGTGATCCTGCAGGCCGTGTCTGACCACCGGGGCCAGTTCACAGACATCAATGCGGGCTGGTCGGCAAGGCACATAACACGCGGGTGAACCACAACTCCTCCATATGCCAGAGGCTGCACACCAGGACTTTCTTCCCCGACCGCCACATCAGGGTCAGGGACGTGGATGTGGACATGCCAGTGTGCCTGCTGGGAGATGCGGCCTACCCCCTACAGCCCTGGCTGATGAAGCCCTACACAGGACACCTCAGCCCCTCCCAGCAGGCCTTCAATGCCAGGCTCAGCAGGGCCCGCATATGATTGAAAGCCAGATTTAGGTGCCTCCTCATCCGCCTCGACCTCGCCGAGCACAATATCCCTCTTGTGGTGGCAGCATGTTATGAGCTCCACAACTTATGTGAGACGAAGGGGGAGGCTTTCCTGCCAGCCTGGATGGCAGAGTCTGACCGCATGGCTGGCCACTACACTCAGCCCCGGCTGCCAGCTGGGAGGCCCTTCGGGGGGCTGTCTGCATCCGGGAAGCCCTGCGGGAGAGCTTCCATGTGGACGAGGACTGAAGTCCCCCTGGTGTGCACCACTGGGGCCTTGTGCCTTACATTCCACCCCCACCTCCTTCCCCTTTCCCCTCCCTAACCCCCCTTCCTGATATACAATAAAAACACCTGTGTTGCCACAAAAAAATCTCTTTACTTAACATAACTGGGGTAGGGGGAGGAGGGAAATGAGGGTGGGAGAGGGAAGGGGGGGAAACTTGGGAAGAGAAAGCTGGAAGGGAGAGGGGAAGCTCAGGCCTTACATTCCACCCCCACCTCCTTCCCCTTTCCCCTCCCTAACCCCCCTTCCTGATATACAATAAAAACACCTGTGTTGCCACAAAAAAATCTCTTTACTTAACATAACTGGGGTAGGGGGAGGAGGGAAATGAGGGTGGGAGAGGGAAGGGGGGGAAACTTGGGAAGAGAAAGCTGGAAGGGAGAGGGGAAGCTCAGGGTTGGGGATCTTACCAGCCCTCCCGTCTCGCAGCATTGCGGGTGCAGGGGCCTCGG